ATAACAGACGACTTTCACCTGGTTGTCAATGACGTAGATGGATTAGAAGAAGTAACTAAAGAAGGAGCATGCCACAAAAGACCTGCTAATGATTCACTTCAGTCACGAATGGAAATGGAGAATCAAGGATTGCCAACTGCGATAGAACCACTTAATTTTCAATTGAGACCAGCATACGATGAAAAAATTGACATCTGGAAAATTCCTTGGGTCGTGGAAAAGTTGCTTGGTAGCGTAAAATGGAGCAGTTTTGCAAAAAGTGAGCTTCAAGAAATCATGAAAAAGTGCAATGCAGTTGATCCTCGGCGAAGGCCTTCGGCGAGTGAGGTACTACGGGAGATGTTGAGAGTCCAGGAATTACTGTCATTTTCGAAGTATTCGTCACTGGATGTTGAGGATCAACTTAATATGAGTCAAAACTGAATGACTCGTCAGTTAGATAAAATTTGATGTTACTGGTTTTTTGACATGAATTTAGTGGCGGTCAGTCGGTTGAGGAAAACGGTGGCGAAAGTTGTCAAGAACGGGCGAGAGAGCCTCTAGAATGCTTCTGTAAACAAACCATTTCCACGACGCATTCGAAAACTCGTCTCTGATTGGGCACACAAAATGATTTTGTGCCCATGCCAGTTGGAGGCCAGCATCTATCGCGCTGCTTTCGTGATCTACTTATAGGAGCGAGTTTACCTGCAAACTCGAATGTACACCGTACCTGTCTCGCTCGTGCAGGAGAGATTTTTTCGAGACGAGTTTTCAGCGAAAATGGGGCCCACAAAACCGAAGAAATCACGTCAGCATGTTAACAAAAACAAAACGAAAAGAAAAATGCACCAACCGAAGAAATAAAAACAACATTTGAAAAAAAATCTTGGTTAAAAGTAGCCTTAAACTATTATTAGTCCTAGGATACCTTGGTACCACTTTACAGTCCTTAATTAATTATACTGCGCGATGACAACGAGGAGGGTAACTGCCGGGGGGGCACTTTAGGAATTTCTGGGTGGGGATGTGCAGCTGGGACCCTGGAACCCTTAACCCATACCAGAGCTAGTTCAGCTGAATTTTGCTACCCTATACTAGAGTAAAGTCCCCAAATCCCCCTATCCTAGAGTAGCTGTTTCCCTAGTCTAGATAAAATCTTCAACCAACTGATCAGTTTCCTGAAAAATGATACCCTATTCTAGACCCAAACGCTCTGATTTATATACCCTATCCTAGAGTAAACTGCTTGAAAACAATACCCTTCACAGCGGCACATACCTATATAGCCCATATATGGCAGTACCCCCCCCCCCTTGGGGGGGGGGGTAACGTTCATGTGGTTGAAAATTATGGCGCATTTCTTTTCACGCTGAGGTGTGGTAACAAAGGCAAATTTAGTGATCAAGTCACTCGCCCGCATGAAAACGATTTGGAAGACGCGGTATATGCCCCTGTCTTGATATAATGATGCAAGAGATAATGAGCTCATTCTTGATGATGATAATTTGAAGCAACGATATATGAAAAAACTACCATTATTCAACGTAGCAAAGAACGATAAAACAAATGATAGAATAAAGGGTCTTTATCCTCTTTTGTAGAAACTAAGAAAACACATGGACAGTAAAAGATATTTTTTTTAACATCTCACTACAGTGCTACAGCTCCCTGCTAGCAGAAGGGGAATGCCAGGGAGAACAGGCCTCTGCTAGCACTAAAAAATACTACATCAGATTAACTTTGACTTTGTTTGAAAATATCCAGCCTTCTTGGTTGAACAAGCTTGGTCAATAAAGAATTTGTTGTATGGCCAAGTGAACGTACAGTGGGGCCAACGACGGAAATCTCGAGTGGGCGTTTGAACTGTTCGGATAAGCAATCAGAACGCAGGGTTCGCCCAAGTTGCTTTGAACATTTCGCAGAATCATTTGTGTAGCAAGCGCCCTCATTCTCGCTGTTGTGCTTGCACGTTGGACATATGCTGCTTGCAAAGAAAAAACTAGCCTGCGTCGCAGGCGTTTGAAAGGGATGGGAAAGGGAGTTTTAGGCCTCGAGAGGAGGGAGGGAAGGAAACGCCTGCCAGGAGACCATTGTTTTTCTCGTTTTTAACATCGACCAGGCGAATGTTAAAATCCTGATTGGTTAGTCTTCAAAACAAGTCAATCACAGCCCAGAAGCCCTGATAGCCTACGAGCAAGCTCTCCATTTGGGGGATATCGTGAAAAGTACACGCGCGAGAGGCACGCGAGAGGAGACGCTCGCCCAAATAGGAGAGCTTGCTCGCAGGCTAGAGCCCTGACAGCCTTAATATCTTTATGTGATTGGTTGAAATCAACATCACGCTACTGAGTAACTTGATCGATCTTTCAGTAATCATTGTATGTCGTTAGTGAAGCGTGATGAGATTTCTGTACGGAATTCATTGTTAGAATTAGAAACTGGAGACATCAATTTCAGCTTCAACCTCCTCCCTCCTCCCTCGCGCGTGGTCTCTCGCCCTTCCCCTTCCCTTTCGAACGCCTGCCACGCAGGCCAAGAAAAAACAGGCATCAGAGCTCTAACAGTGCATTTGACAGTAAACAGGAACAATAGCTATCTCCAAACTTCCCCAGCCGCTTGAACTGTGTTCTCCAGTTTGTGTAACCGTCGTTCAAAAACAACCTTAGTTGTCCATTAGGTTGTTTTTCGTTCCGTGTTTCCAAATAAAACGCGTTAGTTTAAGAACAACACATTAGCAGAGTTATGCAATACCTTGGGGACATGTTTGTGAAGCTGTTTAAAATTCTCACAGTAAGTAAATATAGAGTAAAGTAAAATTTGAATGAATTTTAGATACTTGAGTTAAAGCCTTTTTAACTTTGTAAGATTTTTGTTTCCATTTTTGTGAAAAGAATATCTACAATTAAGCGGATTTAACACAATAAATATCATGATTTATTTATGAGCGCTCCAAACACCGCCCAAGCCGGAAGGAAACTGGTGACGAGGTTGCACCCTTTAGGTCCCATTTCCCTCTCTGCTGAGCGAAAGAAAAAGTTATCGCATTCAACAAAGTTGTTTACAAGCTTTGTCCGAAAGCTGTTTTGTATCCCCAAAGTGGATGGTATCACTGGACATTCAGTTCTACATGGATATCATCTTCTACATCGTTTCCACGTCATTTGTGCAGATATAGTATTTGTTTCTGCCGTCAAAAAACCCGAGATATTCGCTGGAGGTCGGGGTCCTTTGCGCAAAGGTTGTGCTCGTTCGAGCCCCGATTCCTGATAAGACAAAATTATCTTTTCCACATTTTATATTTATTTCTTTGTCGAGGAAATATGTCCCAACAGATTGGTGTAACTGTGCCAGATTCGGAGACTTTGAGCTCTGAAAAGTCCAAACGCTTTACGGTAAGTAAGCTACAAATTGTTTTCCCCTAATTGAATTTCGCTTTATGAGCTTCGCTATAACCGTTCTGTTGGAAGTATTTCCTTGTTGTGTTTGCTTTGGTGTTGGAAGTGATAGCGTTGTCAGATTAGGACGAAAAACAAGATAATCCCGCTGTTTACAAGTTTTTTCTATTCATGGATTAATTTAGGTCGTCTTCTTTAATACTGCCAATAGCTCGCTATATATGTTCACGTATACTCTCGTTTTCTGCAGAAAATAAATTATTTCTTATTAAAGTGTATCTCAAAAACAACTGGTGCATGTCTGGAAATCGACTTCGCGATCACCGATCTGCTTGGATTTATCGCGCCTCAAATTGTTCTTGCTATGTTTATTCAAACGGTACAGTTAATCTCAAAAATGCATGTATTTTGCTTATTTTATGCCTGTATAAACCACAAACGTTTGCTTTATATGGTTGACAAGGTTTTTTAGAGGTAAATAAATTGTACTCGATTGAAATTTACTCGTTACGAATCAAGCTTTTTATCTCAATATTGCAAAAAAATAAAGTAAACAACAGAAATAAAATAATGTTGAAAAATGGACTTTTGTGGTAGGTGTATATTGAGGCTCAATAATTCTCCAGGATGATTTCTGTCGTTTCTGAAGCCTTTCACTGGTGGCAAAAAATTGTGTGGCCTCTATCAACAGAGTTTATTACAGTCGTAAAATTTAATACGTGCCCACACGCCTCTAACCAAATTTAAAATTTTACTTGCTTACGGTGGAACCTTGATATAACAAAGGGTCAGTGGACTGACAAAAATTAATATGTTTGGTATAAGGAGGTTTCATTATATTGAGGTTCTTTTCCTTTTTATCTACTTTACTGGGGCGAGGAATATCATTCATTGTACCAAGGACTTTGTTTTATAGATGTTCTTTAAATCAAGGTTCCCTTGTACTGAATTACTGTATCTCTTATTACGAAGGTTTACAAAGTTCTTGTCAACCTCCCAGATGGCAGAAGTTACTTCATTTTTCGAAGATACAATGAATTCTATAATTTGTATGAAAAGGTAGGTGGATTACACTTGAACCAATTTCCTTGCAGGTTGGGTGCATTACATTTTCTAAAAATTTTTGTTACAGAATTTATATACAAGGCTTTTCTTGTGTAAAGGGATTCTTTGCAATGTAGGTATTCTAGAGGTCAGTCTCATCATCATCATCATCAAATATCATATATCATCAAATTCATCTTGATTAGTCCTGGACTAACGAGCTAGGGCATAACCTACACAGGAGGTCTATGAACCTTCTTTGAAACCTGCCCATGGATTACTAGTGACCTACATCAATTTTCTCCTAACATTTTCCATACACCTTAAAAAGGAAAGGTTAGGAAAATTAATAAAATAATCACCAAGTACGAAATACTTTAATCCTTCAAGCAAATATGGAGAATTTGCATGTGGGTACTGGTGCTTCAAGGGTTAATTTTGGAAAAAAAAGAAAGAAAAAGGCAAAGTGCGATCTGGGTAGTGACACATCATCAGTATGGAATTTCTGCGCTTGTTGTCCAGACGTCATTTCACGTGGAAACCAGGGGCGGCGTCGCAAAATGTTGGCTGTTTTTTCAGGCTAGATTCATTGGAGCTTGACTTAACACTAAAAAATCTTTTTATTATTTTCAGATGAAGAAGGTATATCCTGACATGAACATCAAGTTACCAGGAAAACGTCGACTTGGAAACAACTTTGATCCTGGTATGTATTTCCTATTAAAGCCTCATAAAATGAAATATTTTGGAGAGGAAATGAGACAAATGCAGAAATAAGCCTCTGTATGGGTGTTTCTGACAAAATGGAAGTCGACAATCACCATTGATGAAGGGACAATCTAAGAGCTTAAAGCAATGATCGCATTGCTATTTGTGGAAGTTGGTGCATTTCCAAGTTTCACAATGGGGTGGCAAGGAAACCTTCCAAAGATTGTGCTGCACAATATGATATGTGAGGATTTCACCTGAAAAACCAATGATTTGATGGAAAATGTGAGAGTGTGAAAGAATTGATGTCTGCAGGCACCCTAACAGAGGCTTGGAAATAGTACACAGTAACAACCAGCTTGTTATCCTGTTGTCTTGAAAACTCTAGGCACTGTACAAAAAATTATAGAAGAATTTCAAAATATTTTGTACAGCCCATCTATAGTCATTTTATCAAGATGTGGTTTTAAAATAATCCTTCCTGGCAATATAAAAATTTAGGGCAGTGATAGTAATGATATTATTTGTAAGTTTAACATGTTCATCCAATTGTTTCATCAGAATTTATAAAGATGAGGCGAGAAGGACTAAATGAGTTTACAAGCAAGATTATCAGCCACCCTGATGCAATTGAACAGTGAGTACCACATTTATTTGATTAAATGCCACCCTTGAATAAACGCCACCCTCGAATAAACGATGATGTGGAGTTTATTCCAATAATAGACTCAAAAAGCAGATGCAGTCATAATCAAGTTTGAGCAAGCCTTAAAAAAGTTATTTTCCTTGATAATTTGTAACAATGTGACAATTAAGATCAATACATTAAAAGCTCAAAGGAATATAATTCACTTTATTCACTTTATGTACTGCAGTAGTATTACACCTAAATTGTGAAATTTAGAACGATATAGAAAATGATTTTTCAGACAAGCACTAAAGCATGTTTCTGTTTTTAAAAATTCAAATTTTCAGTTACCATACTATTGTTTGAAAGAAACAAATTGGATTTTAAATAAACGCCGGCCTGAAATAAACATCGCACTTGAATCACAAAAAATTTAATGTATGCCGTGGTGTTTAATTGAATAACACAGTATTAGCGATTTAACAGAGATTCACTTATAATACATCATGCAGCTACCATAAACGTTTAAAATCTCACTGATGTTTGGTATTCTCTCTTTAGTCCTGATGTGCGTCTGTTTTTGTCACTGGATAATCCAAAGAATGCTCACATTAATGGTGACACAGAGCAGTTTGGAGCTGATGAGACTGATTCACTGGTATTTTCAATTTATTGTTATTCTGGAAAATATGTAGATAAAAGACACCTCCCTTCGAGGATGTTCACTGAAGTTCCCATCATACCTTATCTTCTTGTCGTATACTTTTTAAACAAGAAGATGATTTATTTATACTATCAAACTAGAAATCAATAACTTACAGACAAAAACAACAACAACAGACCAAAGATACAGTGGTAATAAAGTAGCTCATTTCTTCTAAAGCAACTTTGGGGCTATGAGAAGACTTTCAAGGTTGTAGAGTGAAACCTAAAGTGAGTGGACATCTATGCAGGGCTCTCGTTAAGGGCTGGAGGCCAAAGATTTCAATAGAACTGTAAGCATGACCCACACTTACTTTCATAGTCCTAAAACCAATTTGAAAAATAACAGAACGAGCAATACTTCTTAGTTGTTCCATTCTCCACTTACTTATTATTGCATATACCCAGCAAATTGAAATCTTGTTGTCAGCCCTGTTGTGTCCATGGGACCTCTTGCCCTCAATGTCCCACTCACCAACATGGGTTCATTTTATAGAACCTACTGGAAGAATGAGTTTCAGGACTTGTTGATGTTCATGTCTGCTGAATTAAGAGTGTCTGTCAGTCTGCTTAATATTAAAGGTTTCACTGTTTTAAAATGTGATAACCTATTTTGTGTTTGTTAGCCATTTTGAAGGGATTGGAAAATGAACGTTTACATATAGCACTAGATATTTGTCAGCATGGGTAGATTTACCCTCTGGCTTGGAGCATCCAAATTGATACCCATTTTTCTAAAACTGTTTGAAACATTGTCCATAAAACACAATGTGATCTCTTCCATAACTAAAGCACTCAAATTCAAGAAAATCCATATAATATATTGTGATATAAAACTTTTTTTTCTATTCTATTGTTAGGCTAAGGATTTGAACAGAATTGATCTAGGAGATTCGTATAATCAAAAGTGAGTAAAGGGCAACAGAATAATACTTGGTATTATGGTACTGGTCAGTTCCATTTACAATGAACTCTTGGTAGTTTATTACAACATACCTCTATCAAATATTAATGTCATGTCTCCCAGCTTATCCAGGAATCTTTCTGATATGGGACAAATCTCCTTGTTTACCCCATGGGTCACCATGCAAGTCTTGCAGGAAAAATAATAGACTTTTGATCATTTGTTTGCTTTTAATTAGTTTTTGATTTAGCCCAAATTTCCCAAACATTAATTTTAACTCCTTCACTTCCAGAATGAATAATGTAGTCTTGTTAGGTATCTCTCACTTTTGACTTTGTTAACCCATTCAAATGAAACCTCTTGGGCAACTTAACTTCACTTATTTGATTATATACTAGCATTATTTTTACAAAAATATGAAAGTTGGAGGTTATTTTTAATTTTGACCTATTCTTTGGGAGTGAAAGGGTTGAAAAAACAATAAATCAAAGTATGATTTTCAATTATGCATTTCATCACTGATAAAATTATATTGTTATATCATCATTATGGGTGTAACTATGGAAGCCACTGGTTGATATTCTGGTCTGAGCCACACCCAAATTATGACTTGATGACTGGGGTTGGGGGGCCAATTTGTGGGTATTATGGTAGGGTCAGTTGATATTGAGTGGAAGTACTACCAAAGAAACAGTCTCCAGATTTCAAATCTCCAGAGTTTTCAACTCCCTAGTATAGGGAATGATATTCTCAGCTGTAAAATAAAATCTAAGGGATCAGGCTGAATTAAAGGATTGTATTCAGAGCGAAGTGCAATCATTGTTCAGTTGTATACATGAAAGCAAATGCTCACAAGTGGAAATGCTTGAGGAGCTGTATACTACGATTGGTTAATATTATTGAAGTCATTTCCAAAACTCAGTCAACATGTACTTTTAATATTTTACCATTCACAGAGCCAAGCCAAGTGATTTCCTCTTCCTTAAAGTGATTGGCAAAGGAAGTTTTGGCAAGGTAAAACTGTCCAGATTAACTTTTGAAATAATTTTTCTCTAAATGTTCAAATGCTTTGATCTTTGGATGTGTTCTTAAATTTGTCCACTAAAATTCACACTACAGTGGGAATACAGCTGTATAGTGAATGATTTGGCAGCCTTTTAATCAGGAATCACCTAAAATGCATTTTCTGCATGCATATGCATGTTTGATGCCCTGTTATAATTTTTCTCTGGCAGTTTTGAAAAGCTAGAGGATGATTTAAGTAAAGGATTAAGTGAAAGTTAAGCCAGTCATTTGATGAAGAAAGTAAAAATGACGCTAAAATTTCAAATTCAAATTATGCCGAATTAAAAAAATTGAAATCCTTGAGTAGTTGTGATCTAAGGTGAGTGAAATCTCTTAGGCTGCTGACCATTATTTCGGTCCTCCCAAATCACTCCTCCTCGAGACTCTAACAATGGTAAGAAGGGAATGTCGTGTGAATACGATGAGCAGCCATTTTTTTAGGAGATGTGTTGTGTGATGCCCGAAATAAAAGCTTTGTAGGAGCCTAAAACATGTTTAGTGTTGCAAGGTCTATTTGTCTTTTCTTTAACTTAATATTTTGCACCTGTTTTGGTATTTTTTTAGGTCTTCCTTGCAAAGAACAAACAGGAAGACCAGTTCTATGCCATCAAGGTTCTCAATAAAGCAGCAATAAGAAAACGAAATGAGGTCTGTAATTTATGGTCATAACAAAATGAAAAGAATTAACAAACTTACCAGTTATTATTTCAAACCATTATTGTTTATTTTGTAAATTTGTTTTTGGTGTGCAGAATTTGATAGGAAAATATTATTCTGTTTCTATGATGTTTAGATATTTTTTATGCAGTTGCTAATAACTTACCAATTATTATTTCAAACCGTTATTGTTTATTTTGTAGATTTGTTTTTGGTGTGCAGAATTTGATAGGAAAATATTATTCTGTTTCTATGATGTTTAGATATTTTTTATAGACTTGTGATATTTAAGATTTTTTTGTTTCATTACAGTCCTTTCACTCCTAAACATTACATGTAGATGTAACAAGAATTTTTTTCCCTTATGGATCAATGTCATTGTGTTTATGTACTTTTTTAGCAAATATGTGTCAAATAACAAGTAATTTGATCAATTTCTGTTTTGAGACTTACAAGGTGTTGTGGCTCATTATTTTATTATTATTTAGTCTTCTATTCTCTCCATGTTTCCTGCAGGCAAAGCATATTATGGCTGAAAGAAATGTGTTGTTGATGAATGTCAAGCACCCTTTTCTAGTGGTAAGACTTGTTTATTTTCAACTCATCATTATTCAAGAAGTTCATTTTTGTTGTCATCCATGGTGCTTTTAGTTTGAAATTTTGGGGCAGATTTGTTAAAAACAATATTTGCAGAAGGATCAGTGAGTTCATTTTTTAAGTTGTCTTACCAGACAGTCACTGTTTTAAATGAAGATGATTTCAACACTGCTATGTGTCCTGCCCATACCCACTAGCCTTTGTGTTTTACCTGCTAAAGTAATTAAAGTAAATTTAACTTTCTTAATTAGCATTTTTTAATTTTTAGGGATTACATTATTCATTTCAAACCAGGGACAAACTCTACTTTGTCTTGGATTATGTAAATGGCGGAGAGGTAAAGGATGTTGGTTATTAAATTGTTTTTTATAACTTGATATAAATATTGTCCATTCAATTATCAGAGGAAGAATTTCTGGCAAGGTATGCTGCTCCAAGTTTGATTGAGATCTGAACACAAGTTCATATTGATGCAAAGACGAATTCTTCTGTACAGCCATCTTTTCAATAATAACCATCATTACATGATTAGTGTCTTTCGACTCACAGCCACCATTCTGATCATTTTTGATTTCTACTTTTTTTGTTAGTTGTTCTTTCATTTACAAAAAGAGAGATACTTTCCTGAAGCAAGGTCAGTGGAATATATCTTATTCAGGTGGCCAGTGCTCTAAAAAAAAGCTATTAATGCTGGTTTTGGATTTTTTCAAATTTGCATGTGTATCAAGGTCTATCAACGCCTTTCCTTTTACATCAAGAGAACGGTAGCTTGCTCTTGGCATTGTCAAGTTCTAAAGCGCGCCGATTTTCTTCTTCCCTTTACCCCGGTCACTAATCCCTGTAGACTTGCTACAAGTCGACCTCTTGGCGAGCGGAGCGAGCCTTTTTTGGCTGCGAAGCGCCCGACCGCGATCGACGAAGTCTTCGTCCCGCGCCATATGAAATCCGACGAAGGACTTTTTTGAAAGTCTATAATCCCTGCTACGAGGGCTTAGTTTTCACAAAGGAAACGTTCAACTTCTTTTGTACTCGGCATGGAGTTATGTATGAACTTGAAACTTTCAAAAAGGTTCGAGAAGTCTGAACACCTTTCTCGTGTTTTTCTTTTCTTTTCTTCTTAAAAAACTGAAGAGTGCACTCAGTGACAGTTACAATTCTCTTAGCCCGCAGAACACGCGTCTTTTTTTTTTCGCGTTTTTTAGGCGAGCGAAGGCAAGCGTCATGGGGGAAGGCAGGGAAAAAACAACGCCTGCAAAACAGGCGCTGTTGTTTTGCCTTTTTCAGGCAAGCACGAAGCGGGCGTGCAGGGCGAGACGCGCTCGCGCTCCGCGCCGCCGGCTTTGTGCTCGCCTGATAAACGCGAATACTCAGCGTTTGTTCTGCAGGCTACCATTCCCTTATTAAATAAAGCATGCCCATGTGACAGACAGTGCGTATCATAATTATTATAACTTTTTCATAATCAGGTGCATTAGTCTATCTCACCAATCACCTCGTTCGTATTTTCTAACCTATTATCTAGTAATCTTTCATGGTAGAATTGAATGCTATGTGTCTATTTTTACTTTGTTATTTATTTTATTTATCCATTTTTTTTCTAGGGCGAGATTCTATGCGGCAGAAATAGCATCAGCAATTGGGTACCTTCATTCTCTTCAAATAATTTACAGGTGAGGGAAGTTTTTTTGTGTAATTATTTGGTTACTTCTTTTCTATTTTCCTCTTTAATTTGAAACTTCTTTTTGTCTTCTTACAGAGATTTGAAACCAGAAAATATTCTTCTAGATGGCAGGGTAAGTGGTGTGTTTTCTTTTTATGCATGCAATAACCCTCCATATTAGGTCAGTCGAACTCACCCTTAGCTCTGCCGTGCCCTTTTAAACAACAGAATTTCCGCTTTTGAATTTTGAATCCATTTTGCTGGCTGGTTTTTGCATAAACCAGGAAAAAGTGCAAGGATATTAATATAAGTTCATTGAGCCGCATTTTGGACAGCCAACAGGTGCTACGTTACCCTGGCTCCAGATGTCCGTTTCTCAAAATATCCAGGATAAAATGAACTGGGTTTCGGGTTTGAGAGAGCTTCCGAAACGGTTTTTTATCGGTGCGTTGCGCTTCTTTTTTTTTTTGCCTGGATTAAGGAGAAGGGAAAAACAGCTCTGTCACCCAGGATAGTGCAACGTTTTACCGCGAATAGGAGCTACTTGGGCTCCTTCGGGGGTGGGGGAGGGCTGCTCTCCTCGCGCTTTGTAGCTCTCTTTTCGTCCTCATTCCAGAGTAATTAGACACTAGCAGCCAAGATCATACAAACCTAGTGAAGGTAGACCACTTCAGAAAAATGTCTGACCAAAAGTTGAAGAAAGACTAGTTTATAACTTCGTTGAAGACAACACGATCCATTTTCTACTAGCCTGCGAGCGAGCTCTCCTATTTGGGCGAGTGAAGCGAGTCTCGCGAGAATGCGCGAGCGAGCGGCGAAGCCGCGAGGGGCAGGGGCGTTTTCGCGAGGTTCTCGCGCGTTCTCGCGAGGCTCACTTCGCTTGCCCAAATAGGAGAGCTTGCTCACAGGCTACATGTGTCAATTTTTTACAGGGTCATGTAGTTTTAACGGACTTTGGTCTCTGTAAAGAAGGAATAGAACCCTCTGGAACTACATCGACATTCTGCGGCACACCAGAGGTACGATAATCTAAGATAACTGAGGCGCTATGAACTCCATTCATAGCTCCCCAGTAAGAGTAATAGCCTAGCAACGGTTTCAGCAGTGGTGAAAAGGTGGGGGAGGGGAGGGGGGATAAAGGAAAAAAGGCGCAACCCTCGTTTTCAGGACGTCTTCATGGAAAACGGGAGGCTGATATGGCGACCGCAAATCAGCGAACACATCTGGATTTCACTTTCGCGATAAAAATGCTTTCTTGTTGCTTGTGAGCTATTGTACATGCTCATAAACACATTTTTTACTGTTTGAAATGTTTAAACTGAAAATCATAGGGAGGGAGCTTTTTTTCACCAGACATCTTTGCCAAAGACACCATTGCAGTGTCAGACACTGTGAAAATTCGGTAATTCAAGATGCTGTATTTTCAAAATGAAAGACGCTACGGGGCGAGAAATGTCTATAATGATTTATTTCTCGGTAACCGTCAACCAGGTGTCGATAAAAGTTCAGGAGACCTCGCTATTTTGATTTTAGAGTTCGATGACGTCGTGGTGAAAACACTCTTTTCACCTCCAAAACATTGTTATGTTAGCGTTAAGGAACATCACACGAGATTTTGCGGCTAGCTATTCACTTGTGTGATTTTAACGAGAAAAATTTGAGTACTAAATATCTTCTCTAGTCAAACATGTTTTCCAGTGTCTTCGATGCTTAGGTTAACTCTGTGTTTTTGTATTCAGTACTTAGCTCCAGAAGTTCTTCGGAAACAAGAATACGACAAAACAGTGGATTGGTGGTGTCTGGGTGCTGTCTTATACGAAATGATGTATGGTTTGGTAAGAACGATTTTGCACTGCTTCAAACTACTTACTGATTAAATATCAAAGCACCACTTAGACTCGGTTACTGAAGCAACCTTGCTGATCGCAAGTTGACTCAGAAAGTGAACAACATTTTATTTCTCCTTATAGTAACACTGATAAAAAAATGACTAGAAACGCGCAAAAAGGATAAAACGGTCCCTACTAAGCTACTCACTGGTACAAACATGGGAAATTACAGATGTTGTGGATGGAAACAGCGACTGCAAGGGCTGTATCATTGCTAAAGCCGCAAATCTGTACCCTAAGACTTGAAGCTAGAATGAAGCTTTGAAGCTAGAACCGCGGTACATGTATACGAAGGAGTTTTAGTGGTAAAAGAGACCTTTTATATATGCAGTCGCATAGTGTTTATGTTGTGGTTAAATTTCCTTAATTCAATTTTTCCTATGGTAATTCTAGATAATGACTGTAAAACAAAGGTAAATTAAAGTCGGATCAAGGAGAGGATATAACTCAAACTGGACCGCAACATTTATTTAAAAGGGACCAGAGGGGTTATTTCATATTTCTCAAACAGGTACACCGTTCAAAAAGTTAAGCAAAGCATCTAAATTATTATATGTATTACTTTCTTTGTTTTAGCCGCCTTTTTATAGTCGGGATACAGCAGAAATGTATGAAAATATCCTCCACAAACCTCTTCGTCTTCGGACCAACATATCAGCTAGTGCAAGAAATGTTCTTGAAAGTGTAAGTTTTGTTTTTATCATTTTTTAGACTAGGAGAATGTGCTTAGAAACAAAGCGTATATCTGTTTAAAACCACGATGGGTAACATGCTCTTCTTTCTTTTTTCTACTATTTCACAGCTTCTTCAAAAAGACCGCTCAAAGAGACTCGGAGTCGGAGAAAACGGCTTTGTAAGTTTTAATCAGCAATAGGCCAATTCCGAGTTCCCCCGCGCCTCTGTATCAAAACGAGGTTAAGTGTTCAGCCTTTGATGTGGAAATGCTTTTTCATTCTCATGCAAATTAAACACATTTTCACAAGAAAAGTTGTGCACTTGGCCTCATTTTGAAAGTGAGGGTTTTTGGAACTCGGAAGTGGCCTTTTATTTTTCGTAATTATGTCATTTAATATCCTAGTAGTATTTGCATCTTGCATCTGCTGCTGTTTTGTGTTTATACTACCTGTTCGAGCAGTGGGTTTTTAAAACCAAACTTGTCATATCTTCGTTCGTTCGCTTGCCTTTCACGCAGACATCCTTAGGTGCCCATCACGCTTTCCTTTGTGGCTAGGCGAGGAACGCGCGACAAAGCCCAATGAACTTTAGCCTGCGTGGCAGGCGTTCGAAAGGGAAGGGATAGGGGATTTCAAGCAGGCTAATTATTAAAGAACTTTTGTGTGGGAGGCTATTCCTTCGAGGTGCCGGCAACATCATTAAACAGATGTGATTGGTTTTGCTGTATCGCCCACTTATTTTTGGTACTTATTGGCCTTTGCTTATTTAGTTTATTACTTTTTGCCGTTACTAAAACAAATCGCTCCTGCAAATGTTACCGCGCCCCTCCATCCCTACACAACACGACTCCCCTCTCCCCTTGGAAGCCTATTCAAGGCTAAAATTATTATATACTGTTTACAAAGATACTCTGTAATACTGTCTTAAACTTCCTTTTCAGGAAGATATCAAGGGGCATCCGTTTTTTCGAAACATCGACTGGCAGTTGTTGTATGACAAAAAAATTGAGCCGCCCTATAATCCTAATGTGGTAAGTTGGATTCTGAAACCTCTAAGAGTTGATAATATATATGGCAGTTGGGTGCACGCTTTAGTTGCCTTGACCCTTGTAGAGAGGTTTAAACAAGAGTCAATGCGTAGACTTAGCAAAAAGTTTTTTCACCTGCTCTGGCGAAGACATTTAGTATAGACAATTCCAAAACTCAGAGCAAAAATTAAGAAAACGGAACGAAACGAATACAAAACTGATGAAGTCCGAGTGAGTTGGACCAAACATTCGTTTCGTTTCCTTAGTTTTTGCTCTGAGCTTTGGAGTTTTCTTTAAAAATGTATGGACTGTCCGCCGGGACAAAAATAGTGGTGGTTGTAGAAGGGTGGGCTTTGTGGAGAGGTAGCCGTTAGTGGATGTTCGACTCTTGTGCAGCTTTGACTGAAAAACGTGGTTTTTTAACAATTATTCCTCGGGCCCGAATGGGCTCTGAGTCAAGAGCCCATGAGGCCGAAGGCCGAATGGGTTATTGACCGAGAGGCCATGAGGGCGAGAGGAATAATTGTTTTAGTAAAATCCAACTGGTTGGTCAAAAATATTGAGACAAAACAACTTTAGCTAGTTAAAGAAAGACTTTAATCCTTTTTTGCCGCCAAAAACCTGGCGCGTTTTCGCTACTAGTGGGCTATAACATATAGCCTAGTAGTAGGTCAACCAATCACAACGCAGCATTGATAATAGACCACTCGTTGGATTTTACTAAAAACGGATATTCTTTTGCCCTCTGTTTTACCAATAGACAGGCCAGCTGGACCTGAGACATTTTGATCCGGAGTTTGTTCGAGAACCAGTACCAGGTACGTTATCTCCACATACTAGCACTATTCCTGCAAAACATCATCCCAAAAATTATGACGGTTAGTGCTTCCTGATGAAATTTAATTGATATCTATTTCATAACTCTACCGGAGCGTTTTTTGTATGGGTAAACGCATTAAGCAATGACTTTAGCACTTCAGCACAGAATTGTCCTGAAACATGCAGCCATATCATCGTGAGATGGCCCCTTTTAAGTCACAAAAAGGTTTTCAGGTTTTCCATTCTTTCTCCATGTGGACTGATCATGAAAACAACTTCAGAAAAATGCATTTATGCTGCTAACTGTTTGCTTTTGGACTTGATTACGACAGGATCAGTGGGCAAATCTGCTGACTCAACATTCTTAAGTGCCAGCGTTGACGATCCCGACGATGCTTTCGTGGGTTTTACTTACGTGGCTCCAATGGAGGAAGTGCTACACGAATGAGAGGCTTCAGCGAGAGATAAACAGATAAAAAAAAGCGCTTCTGCTAGTTTGTGTGCTGTTTGATGAAGTAAAGATTTATTTAGAGACTGAAATATTGCCTGTGCTGTTGAGTCACGGAGATCACAGGACTTACTACACCCGCCACGAAGGTCGAGGGCACGATGTTTGGATTCCTTAGCACTCCTCTTTGGTTGACGGAGCTTTCACTGTCTTACAATGACCGGTTGTTTCCTCTGGATCGTCCTTTTTGCAAGCGAAACAGCTTCTTGGTAACTACGGAGAGAGTTTTCGCACAGTGTCCCATAAAATTATCGCGAAACACTTCGAGTATGCAATGGGTAGCTGGCTGGTCGCGTGGTTTGGTGTGGCATGCGCATTGGGTGGTGTGTCATAGTATTTAAACGTTATTACAGTAAATCTAAGTTAACAAAGAAGTAAAACTAGTTTGGTCAGATTTCCAATTGTTGCGTAAGATGAAAAGGCGCGATTTTTTTCGATGGGGAGTTTAACATTCCAAACTTAAGAGTACACGGACACATCTCTATTACGATAGTAGATAAAACGAACAGTCCTTTCGATCCAAAGAGGTTGCATTTTGTACAATCGCCATGTTTATTGTATGGCCGGCCTCCCGAGCGGGCAAAAGATGAAGCGAATCCTGCGTTCTGATTGGCTACCCGTGCGGGTACTCGGGATTGCCCGTTTTGCTCTTGCGTAAAGATATTTTCTTTTGGTCTTATAACACTGAAATCCTTTATTAACCAAGCTTGTTCGGTCAAGATTTCTTGACCTCAAGCTTGGTCAATAACGCGTATAATAGTAGACACCCCCATTAGACCTGACCCTTTAGTGTCCGATTTATAGAGTTTTGACCGTAGCGTCTTTGGATAAAACTACGGTTGTACCATAACTTGAACATGGATAACTTGAACTTTCTCGACAAAACTTCCAGAAAGAGGCTTAGTTGAGGAAAGGCAGGCCAGAAGAATCTTTATCCTAAAACTTTTATTTACTGGGCTCGAAACTTGGCAAAAGAGCCTAAAATTACCTTTCTGAGATCACTTAAGCTACACTACTCGTCGCATTTGTTGAAACACGTGACGTTACACCCTCCCCAATGTTGATTCACGTATCACCCATTTGCAAATATATGCGAATCTCAACATTGGGGAAGGAGAGAAGAGCTACACTCGGGGAAAAGTAAGAAGGCGTGAAATGAAAAATCCTCATGCACTTTCAGTGTAGTGTTTCAACGAAGTTTGACAAGTATTGTAGGTGTAGCATACTTTTTCCGAAACGAACCAAAATGATTACGGAATTATGTCCTTGCATCTCTGTTGCTGGCCATGGTAACTACAAGTTGAATTGAGTGAAAAAGGACGAGTCCAGACATTCAAATTGATTGAAAAAGTATCCTTTAGGTTTAATTTATTGGCACTTACATGCTAGGGCTCTTCAAATTTGTTCATTAGAGATTGTAAAAAGTTGTCCTTATTTATGTATTAGCTTATTATTGTACTTGGGCACTTAGGTTTTAGGTATAAAGACGTTGAAATTAACAACGTCGATTCAGTACTTCCATTTACTTAAGGAAGACTTGAGGAGGGGGAAAAATCCAAGTTTTTCCTCTTTCCTTAATATTTTAAATTCAGAGAACTTTCGTCCATGCTTCGCTACCTCTTTCCTATTGTGCCGGTGTTTTGTGGAAAATATCCCATGGTTAAAGCTTGATCCAGCCTTTTCGTGATGTCTTGCAAATGCCGTTAGCTTAACTGTAAAACGGTTGGTATTAATCATGAGCACGGTTTGGCTGAGTAGAATCACCTGGTGCAGTCCTCTCTACTCTTGCGGTGACAGATCGAGACCTTATTGCTAAAGGGGGTTAGCTCCCGCTTTCTGGTCGACACGAATTATCTCAGTTGTTGAGCCATAAGGGCCTCGGAACTGGTCCAAAAATAGGGGAGCCCCCACCCCGTCCTCTCCCGGGGTCTGAGATCCGCCACTGACGAATTTTTCCATGAACACGCACTCGTTGTCTTTCATTTGCTTGGTTGGCTGACACACTTGATTGATTAGCTCTTCTAGTACACTTTTTACACTGAAAGGGTTTCCATAGTACTTAACTAGCCTTCTTTTAGGCTATGAGAGTGAAGTTTTAGTGATCACGCTTTGAATTTCGGTTTTTATCTGTATGTGTTAATGTGCTTGAACGTAAATAAAAATTCCTTTATCCGAATAACAGTGTAATTTATATTTGACAAGTTGGACTAACGATAGGAAACATGACTGCTGGAAAGTGCACAAGACACAAGATGTTTCTCCGGAGAACCCCGATGGGGCTGAGTACGCTGAATAACTTTGTAATCGTTATCATACTCGATCTAGCTTGCGTAGCAGGCGCTTGGAAGTACAGTGGGTGAAAGAGAGAACGGGCGCGCGCGAGGGAGACACGCGAAGGGTGTCTGCTTCTCGCGCGCCCATCTTTTTCTTGTGCCCACTACTTCCAAGGGCCTGCTACGCAGGCTATACTCGGTCAACATGCAGTAAGGGTGCTGTTATGGCAGTAGATCAGAGTTGTTTTGGTAGTTTTGACAACATTACAACAGGAATACCATGTGCAAATAGCTTTCCTCTTTTCAAGATCCCGATGGATCGTTCACTTTCTTATTAGTTTTTAAAAACAACTGTTTTTGCAGGCTGAGTGTGCTTGTAACCCCGGGTTGCATCCACCATGACGCTTTCGGAACGCAGAGAACTCACATGTTAGGGAACATGTAGACATAGAGCTCAGCCTTGGTAAATTGCCCACACAGAATCCATCTGGGTTCTCGTAAGGGCAAATTCTGGTAGCGGTTAACCATCCGTGGAATCCCGCATTCTATCAGAGACGTGCAGTGTAGACCATTATTAGGGTATTCAGTGATGGTACCCCCTGCCCCGACCCTTCTGCTATCCGAGAAGATTTCACACCGATCCCAAAGATAAAGAGCCTGGAAGTCCAGTAGATAAAACTTAAAAAACGATTTACAGTGAAACCTCGATATAACGAACCTCTATATAACGAAGTCCTCGCTATAACAAACGATTTTCTTTACCCCAGCCGAATAATAAAATACATGGAAAAGAACTTCGTTATAGCGAACAAATTTTGCCATTCCCTTGGTCCTTCGTTATGTCGAGGTTCCACTGCATGTAGCACATCCACATGTGGAATTCTTCGTCTACTATGATTCCTGGTCGCCGTTAACCTGCGATCAAGCGGTCCTTTTTCTCTTTTGTTTGGGAGACGAGGGAGACAAAAACGCCTCATCGCGGGTTAGACCGCCGGTAGAATTGGAATTTGGAAATGTGGGTTTTTAAGGTGAGAAAAAAACCGGAGTACCTGGAGAAAAAAACTAAAAAAATATGGCGTCAACGCCTAATTCTGGGCCACATTGGTGAGAGGCGATTGCTCTCACCGCTGCCCCAGGCTTGTCCTCCCACCACCCCGCCCCCTCTTCGCCAAAGAAAACTTTATTCTATAAATCGTGGTCAGCTTGTTAAAAAGAATAACGGCAGTAACTCTTGTACAATTTTAAAAAGTTTTATACTTCCTTTTACCAAAGAAAAAGCGAGTAAAACCAACTTTTGACGTTATCGGAATGTCTGAGAGGTCTGATGTGGATGTCAATTTAGTTTGTGTTAGGTTAGGGCGCGAGACCGCGTGTGTTGGCTAGGCGGGCGAATAAGGCTATCACGGAGAAAAAATTAAAAGACAACTATATTTTGGCTAAAAACCAGTAACAGAAGTTAATAAAACAAAGCAAACAGTAACCTGCTTTGCAGGCGTATTTTGGTTGGGCGAAAGCTGCTTGTTTGCGTTCGTACTGTTGCAACCGCCATCTTTGATGTTACGGACGGAGGAAGATTAGGGAGAGTTAACTGCAGGCTAATCAAACAGCACCATACCAAAAGAACGGATATAATTTTTTCTCTTTTTTCATTTCAGTTGCATTTCTAAAATATCGAGTTCAGGCTCGGCGTTTGGTGCTTGATTGATATTCACTTTTAAAAACACTAGCTTGTTCATGGACTGTCTATTTTCTCTTCAAACTCCGTCGAGCGCAGGTGATAAAATATATACCGCAGGGGAGTTATTGACCGCCGTTTCAAGTGGGTAGTGGTGGGGGAAGAGGAAAATTCTTATTTTTCTTTCTCACGCTCCGCCCGCGAGCTCGCCGATGTTTTTGAAAAGAACGAAAAGAAAAATAAAACAACTTCTGTTTACAGGCTATTTAAACACCACTGTCAAACATTTTGATGTCATGCCTATATATCACATCCAGCTTTTCAATTTGTTTACTTTGCCAGTTTCACTTTTGCCACATTTAAGGGATTTCCTGTTCGAAATTTGAAGCTTGTTTCAATATCGTGCCCTGCGAGCAGTGGTTTCTCCAGGCCGGACGCGCTTAGCGAAACCACTGCTCGCAGGGTATTAAATATCGTAGCTTAAAAGAAGTTATAGTACTGCTAACGGGCAAGGGCATGCCCAAATGCTTGGAATTCTTGGAAAAAAGGGGTCTTGAAAAAAGAAAAAAAGAGTGCAACACAGATATAGTTATGATGAAAATAAAAACCTTGAATTCATTTTGAAAATGCCTATTCTCCCTGGCTGTGCTCTTGAAATTAGTTCCATTCCTTTCTACCGTACCCTGTGGCCGTACGTACACTGGCTATTCTACCGTTGCGTTACATACTCTTTCCTTCGCCAGTTTGCGGAAGATTCTGCTTCGTTCTTCTCTGTCTTTGCTACGGATTCCACCTGGTAGAACAAATACATCAAACCGCAAAATAAAGTGTTTGTGTGTGTGAGCAGCTAGTCAAATAGTTTTGAATATTAATAGCTGATCAACATAGCAATTCTCTTGTGCGATCAAGTTCTTACGTCGTGTGACAGATGACACTTCTGACCCCAGTCTCCGGGGACAGAAAAACAAGTCACATCGGAATTTTGTTTTCATAATTGTATTCCCAGGGTACCATCGTTTCACATCTGAACAACCATTGTTCCATAGACGCCCAGAAAATAAGTAGGTTCACGGTGAACCTGGCTTTTGCAGGTTGTTCATTTTTTGTAGGTTGTCAGGCATCCCACGCATTTTACTGCTGAACGACGCAATAGACCTTCCCTGGCTTTGAGTCTTGCCTGCATTGCGATCTGTCACGTAGACTTTGGATCATTTTGAGCGGGCAGAAGTCATCATTTCCCATCAAATGCGATGTCCAAGCAGATAGATGTAACGGTACCTGACTCAGAAACGTTGAGTTCCGAGAAATCAAAGCGTTTCACGGTAAGATTTGCCCTTAATTAATCGCCATCTTATTGAGTAAGTTTCAGCGGCTTTTTCGAGTGAGGTCAATTTCACTTTGCTTGCCGCCGGTAAATGAAAGGAAACTGTCAGACAGAGATTGTAAAATACAGTACGCTGCAGAGGCCGACAGTCAGTGGAAAAAGCTGGAATCTACGTTGTGTCGAGGTTAAACGTTCACAGATATTCTCCGTATCTGTGGAGCGAAAAGGGGGAAGATAGATCTTTGTGCTTGCAAAGCTGTGGCGATCAGATTTCAAATACAGTGTAGGCGTATCGGCTACCTCTCATTATTTTTACAACCAAAATGTACAGTATTTCGTTTGTCATTTTCAACGAAAGGCGTTACAAAGATCCTTACGCTCATTTTATTTTATTTTTTACAATATTGAAGCGGTACTTGCATTTTGGAACGTTTTATTACAAAACTCTCTGATTTAAGCTTAAAGGCGAGTACTCGTACCAAGTGATCGATGTAGTTTATGAGTTATCTACCTTGCTACGTTTTAATAATCAATGTTTCTCGCGTTATCTTAAGCCTTTATTGTCCTAAAGTATCCATTCATTAAAATTAGATGAGGAAGGGACTTCCTTTCACCAATATCTGACTCGCTTTCTGAATAACTAATTATTGCTCAGTCGAGCCCGTGGTAAATGTTCATGTGCTTGTTAATTTTTTACTATCAAAGTTTGTACATTGAGCGAGGTTTACTCTTGACTTTTCTTGTTACAAATTAACATACGGTGGTTTGTTCTTTATCTCGGATACCTTTTTGTATTCTCGAAATGAACTGTTGAAAGTTCCAAAAAAGGAACTCTGTTTTTTGGAAAATGGTCGTTTACCCTTAAGACCAAAAACCTCTTTATTTTGCTGCAGGTTTTGACCACATGTTTTGGTAAATCTGTCGTGTTTTCGCTTCTTTAATTGACAAATCCGCTTCAGGTGCAATTA